TCCCATTGCATATCATATTTGGACTGGTTTATTTCTATGTGATATCTCTCCCATTGCATATCATATTTGGACTGGTTTATTTCTATGTGATATCTTTCCCGTTGCATATCATATTTGTATTTGTTTGTTTGTTTTTTGTTTTTTTTCTGGTACTGGGAATCGAACTCATGACCTCGTGCTTCCTAGACAGGCGCTGTGCCACTGAGCTAAATCCCCAGCATGCATATCATATTTGGACTGGCTTATGTCTATGTGATATCTTTCCCATTGCATATCATATTTGGACTGGTTTATGTCTATGTGATATCTCTCCTGTTGCATATCACATTTGGACTGGTTTATGTCTATGTGATATCTTTCCCATTGCATATCATATTTGGACTGGTTTATTTCTATGTGATATCTTTCCTGTTGCATATCCTATTTGGACTGGTTTATTTCCAAGTCTGTGTCCTCAGTTGACCTTACCTCTTTGAAGAAAGGGACAGTGTCATCCTAACTATCATCTCTCTAGTCCCCTGGCACATAGTTGGCATTAGACAAATATTTGCTGAACTGTTAAATTTTTAAATTGGGTTGGCCTTGAATGAAAGATCTAAGATTATGAAGAGGTGATCATTTTACTGAGCTTAAGAAGCATCTCAGGGGATTAACACCCTTAATAAAGATACTCTAAGAACTGAGAAATGTTTATGAGAATAGGTGTGTACGATGGTACCTCAGTTCACGAACTTATTTCTTTCCATGATTCTGGTTGCAAACTGAATTGGACGAGAACCGAATCAAAGTTTCCCAATAGGTCAGCATGGACCTAACCATTGAATTTTGATTCAGTTCTCATCGAATTCAGTTTGCAACCAGATGGTGAGAGAATTAAGTTTGTGAACGGAGGTGCTACTGTAAATGCAGGCATAATCTACTCACTTGCTACTAAGAACTGTCCTTAGCCAGATTTTTTGCCTTTTAAAATTTTATTGGTACATTTTAGATTTGCATAATGAGATCCTTCAGCATAGGGGATTTGTACCTGTTCGTGACACATCTTGCCGCTTCTCGTTTTCCCGTTCCCCTCCGCTCCCTTAACCTTTCTTCCCCTCCTCCTTTACCAAGGCTTTGTTTCCATTTATTCCTTCTATTTTCTTTTTTTTCTTGTCCCTTCTTTTCTTTCCCCCTTGCCCTTGTTCCCTTTCTCATCTGAACGTTTTCTTCCCATTTCCCAGTATCTATTGTACATTTTGGACCTTATTTACCCTTTGATTTCTCACAGCAGAGAAACCATGTGATATTTAAATGTGTGTCCAATTTATTTCACTTAAGAGTATGGTTTCAGGATGCATCCATTTACCTAGAAGTGTCTGAAGCGTATCCTTCTTTATGGCAGAGTAGTACTCCATTGTATAAAAAACTCCCACACCTTCTTTATCCATTCATCAGTGGGCACCGGGCTCTTTCCAAGAGCTAGCTATTATAAACACTGCTGCTGTAAACACAGGTGTGCATATATTGTTGTGGTATGATGCTCTTAATTCTTTCTGGAAAATACCAAGAAAGGAAATACCTGGGTCAAATACAATCTAGAGTGAGATGGAATCTCAGCATTGTTTTAATTTGCATCTCTTGAATGATCTGTGACGTTGAACATTTTTTAATATATTTATTTGCCATTTCTACTTCTTCATCTGAGAGATGTGTATTTATTTCAGATGCCCATTTTGGGACTGGGTCTTTAAATGGGGGGGGTCTAGTTTTTTTGAGTTCTTTATATATTCTTGATAGTAATTCTTTGAGGGACAACTGGCTATAATTTTCTCCTACTCTGTGGGTTCATTCTTTTGGTGGTTTCTCTTGCTGCGCAAAAGCTTTTTAATAACATGAGATCCCAGTTGTTGATTCTTTGTGATAGTTCCTGTGTGACTGGGATTTTGTTCAGAAAGTCTTTGCCCACACCAATGTCTTCAAGAGTTTTACCTATTCTATCTCCCAGCAGATTTAGTGTTTCTGTTTTAATGTTTATTTTGATTTTTTGGGAATCTTTTTGAGACAGGATCTTACTCTGCAGTTCAGACTGGCCTAGAACTCACTTTGTAGCCCAGGCTGGCCTCAAATTTGCAGTGATCCTCCTGCCTCAGCCTCCTGAGTGCTGAGATTACAGGTGTGCACTACCCCACTTGGCCTGTTTTAGTATTTAGATCTTTGACCCATTTTGACTTTAGTGCATGGTGAAAGGCAACTTTAATCTTCAGCCTATGCAAGGCCAGTTTTTCCAGCACCATTTATTAAAGAGGCTATCTTTCTTCCAGTGAAGGTGTTTGGCTCTTTTGTCAAAGATAAGGTGGCTGAGTGTGTTTGGAGTTGTTTTTGTACCTTCTAATCTGTCTCAGTGAACCTCAGATCTGTCTTTTTTTGCCAGTACCATGCTATTTTTATCACAATAGCTTTGTAGTATAATTTCAAGTCAGGGATTGTGCCTCCTGCCTTGCCTTGATTGCCCAGGATTGCTTTTGCTATTTTAGGTCTCTTCTGGTTCCAAATGAATTTTAGGAATGCTTCCTCTAATTCTGTGAGATATGCTATTGATATTTTGATCAGGATTGCATTAAATTTCTACAATTTTGGAAGTATTAGTCAGTTCAAAGAGCAATAACCATTACTGTTTTACATTTGATATATTGTTTTAGAAAGATTCTAGGTTACTATTTTGTTTTTTTTGCTTCGCATTAAAAATATTTCTATTGTTCCAACCTTACAGCACTCCACCCTACCTCAAGTTTGCTATTTTGCTGTGCCTAATTAGAAGAGCAGTCTGTCATTTTTCCTGCAGGTCTGACTATGCTGCACGGCTTGTGCAGGACCAGGCTCATGTCTGTACATTTACACAGAGGCTAAACTCTTAGGCTTCTCAATAGTACGACGGGAGGGAGTTTCAGTGTGCTAGGTGCCACTGTAATATCTTGTCCACCTTTGGGAAAATTCTTCATTATATCCAGCTAAAGATACAGCATTATGTCTGAAAGCTGCTATGGAATATGCACACATGGCACCTGAGATGGCGTATATGTTCGTTCATTCATCATCGGGACCCATGGTTGTAAGTGTCTGCGTCCCTTAGGGATGAGATCTAGGCGGGTAGGGAGAGAGGATCCTGGGGAAGGAGGAAGCTACGAGAGAAGGGGATCCAGAGCACAGGATCTGTTCTGTCTATACTTCTGCTTGGGACATCTTCTGCCAAGAGTAAGTGTAGTCCATAAAGACACACTCCACGTGACCAAAAAACGGAGCACCTAGTGGTGATCAGTAACGTTGTGAATTTTGCATCTTGTTTGCAGAGACCGTCAATGCGACAGTAAAATTCTCCTTCAGGGGAATACGATTCGCCAAGGTATTGTTCGAGATTTATTTTGTCCTTTCTTAACGTTTTGCAGTGACAGATATGTTAAGAATTTGAAACAAGCAATTCCTGACTCCTTAAAGCAGTGATTCAAGAGTAAGATGTTCAAGAATTTTGTGTTTTAAGCACTTCTTCCTTCTAAAGAATATGGAAAAATTTCACATGAGGTAGTTTTTGGCGGGGGAGCTGTAGATGTAGCTCACTAGTAGGGTGCTTGCCTAGCATGCGTGAGGCTCTGGGTTTGATCCTCTGTACTAAATAAACAAGCTCATTTTCACACTATTTTTCTTTCCAATGTCCGTGGCTAAAAATAAGGAGAACGTTCACTATTATTCTGTTGGTCTTCATATGAAAACACTGGGCAGCTGTCTTAGTTACTTTTTTCTCGTTGCTGAGACAAAATACCCAACACCCAAAGTTAAAAGAGGAAAGCTTCATTTAGCTCAATTTGTAGAGATTTCAGCTTATAATCGGCTGGCTTCAAGGCGGGGTGACATGGCAGAGGGGCATCGCAGAGGAGAAATAGTCCATGACGAGCAGGCACGTGAGAGTGAAAGATGCCTTAGCAGCTTTTCTCTGCTGCTTTGGTACTCTACCTAGGCTACCTGGAATTGGATGTTGCCAGACAAATCCGTGGACTGATTTAGTAATCGCACACCCTTCATCCCACCATTGCACCATGAATCAATCACACTACAGATTCAGCCACCTCTGAAATATAAATATAATAAATATAATAAAGCCCCATCTATGCCCACGTGAGGCTTTGGGGGGACATCTAGACACAAGACATAACAGCAACCATTTTTCATAAGTCAGTAACCATTGTGTATAAGTCTATAACTATCCATGTGATGTATTAAATGTATTGTAAAAACTGAGAAAATAAAAATTACATAAATTATAGGCTTATTTTTATGTTTCATTTTTTGGGGAATTTAGCTTGGATGTTCAGGCCTTTGGAAAAATAACTACCTCCTCAACAAATACCACTGTAATTTGGATATTTGCATCACATACCTAGTGATGAAATTTTGCACATTTCACTTTTGGTGCCTATTTTAAAATAAAGTTTAGTAAGGCATACTCTTATTTTGTTACAAACAAAATGTAATATTTGAAAACCTTGTAGGCTATTTTTTTTTCTTTTCCGGTACTGGGAATTGAACCCATGACCTCACACTTGCCAAGCAGGCGCTCTGCTGCTGAGCTATATCCCCGGCTCCTTATAGGCTATTTTATTTATTTTGTTTTTGTTTTGCGGTACCGGGGATAGAACTCATGACCTTACCCTTGCCAGACAGGTGCTTATGCCACTGAGCTATATCCCCAGTCCCTTATAGGCTATTTTAAAACAATTATAAATATCCCTCATCTTATAACTGGGAAATAAATGGGCTGTAGGCTCACTGAGTTCAAAGGGTTGGAACATTTCTTCTGGTGTGAAAACTAAGAACAGTGATTCAGCTGGGAGTTCCAGCTCAGCGGTACAGCACTTGCCTAGCACACACAAGGCCTTGGTCTGATCCCCACCACCGTAAGAAATTGATGACCAATTCAGTACGAACAGCATCCTGCCGGTAAGACAGAGTTCTTGCAGTGCCTTTAACACAGTAGCATGTATCGTTTTTTAGATTATTAAATCTAACGTTGTTGTGTTTCTTTCTCCTCATTTTAGGGCGAGTACAACTGCATTGCGGAAGCCATCACCGGGGACATGGAAGAAAGGCTTTTTTGTTTGAATTTTACCGTTGTGCACCTTCCGCACTTTAATTAGAATAAATTGAGCATTTTTTTATTTTTTAAAAAATGTTCTTATTTAATGTAATAGAGGGTCCCTGGGCTCTATCTTAATCGTGTATGGGAAGACACCAGATGCAGGAATGAGTGTTTTGAGGGAAAATGGATTTTTTTCTATTGTTTATTCAAGGCAAGATCTTGTTATATATCCCAGGCTGGCTTCAGACTTGTGATCCTCCTGCCTCAGCCTCCTAGGTGCTAAGATCACAGGTGTGTACAAGCAGTGTCTGGGATAAGGGGTTGTCCCTCACTTCCTGGTGCAGGGCCCTGGGGTTAACAGAGTGAGTGGATAGTAATCCTGAATGTGAGCGCCCCCTAGGGGCGGTGGTTGGAGTGAGGGCTCTGTATTGACTGGTTGCATAGGACAGGTGAGAAGTCGGCATGCCGTCATTTGACTAATATTTATTGTTTACCTACTATGTGTCAGGCCTTGCTCTAGGTATTGGAGTTACAGCATTTTACAGCCCAGACCAGAAAAACAGAACAAAACAAACACCCCAAAACAAAAAACCACAAACAAACAACTGCCTGTCTTCATAGGGTCTGTGTTTTTGTGGGGAAAGAATCACAAGATGAACAAGTAAGCGGTAAAGTACATTAGAAGCAAACATACTCTTGAAGTGCTATATACGTACATGGAAGGCAGATATGGGCAGAAGTGGAGGTTGTGATGTTTGAGGTTTTGGTCGGGGTGGTCAGGAAATGCCGCAGTGGCAAGGTGCACTTTGTGAAGCTTAAGTTACTGCAAGCTGGGAGAGCAGCTGGTGTCAGGGCCCTGTGGTAGCACGGCGTCCGGCATGCTTGGAGAAGAATAAGGATCTGTTCAAGTGAAGGATGTGAGACAAGAAGAGGTCAGTGGGGACCGAGGAGGTGGGCGTGTGCTGGGGTTTGATCTGCTAATGTTAGGACTTTGGCTCTTTCTCTGAATGAGATGGAGACGCCCCGGAGGGGTTTGTGGAGGAAAGTGTCATAAGTGCTACTTTAAAAAGCCAGATTCTGGCACCATCTGGAGCGAGCTGGGTGACTTTTGGTGGCAGATGTCTGTGCAGAAAAGGAAAGACGAAGTTGGGACGCTTGGAGTAATCCCGGGGACAGGTGGATGAGGTGGAGAGAAGTGACCTGCTCTGGGTGTGTTTGGAAGATAGAACCAACTGCAAAAATACTTTCGCTGGTGGATGAGGTAGCGGGTATGAAACAGCGATTCTAGCTTTTTTCTTCAGATGGAAGGATGCCATTACTTGAGCAGGGAAGTTAGGGAGCAGCAGGTTTGGGGAGGAAAAAACTCAGAGACTGGTTTTTGACATTTTGAAATATGGTTAGGTATCCAAGTGGGGACTTTCAAAAGTCAGTGGATATGAATGCAAAGTTCAGGAGAGTGTTCCAAGCTGGGGTTTTGGAAGTTGTCAGCACGGAGAGGGAATGAGTGTAGAGATAATAAGAGGTCCAAGAGCTGCGTCCTGGAGTGCCCTGTTCCCCAGGGACTGTGATTTGGGAGGTGCGGGCAAGAGCCTGAGACCGTGTGGCTGGAGGTCGGAGTTCACGGTTCCCGGGAAGCCGGGTGGAGGCGCTGTTCAGCCGCTTTCACGCGCAGGAGTGTAACGAGAAGGCTGCGTGTTGACCTTTGCATTTAGCAATGCGGAGGTCGCTGTGGCTTGACAATACACCCACAGAGAGCCCGCTGAGATTTCCAGGCGTTATCCCAGCCCTGCGCCGCTCATAGGTGCGGATCGTGGGTTAAGCTCTCTGAGTAGCCCTGTGGAACCCCTCACTAAAGCTGGAGGCGGCACAGCCTCACACCTCCCTTTCACCCATTAAGACAGGGGGAGTGGGAGTGGACCCAGTGACAGCTCTCCCCCAAAGTATCCCCGACACATCCTCTCCTTTAGGATTCTCCTTCGGATTAAAATATCCTTTGACCCTTTTCCAAGAGCTGTCCATTGGGCGATCAGACGTTTCCTGTTCCCTGGCTTCGTTCTGGTGCAGGCCCGGTCCTCATTCTGGGGCGGGTCCTGAGCACAGCCAGCGGGAGGAATTCTCAGGGGAGAGTGAGTCAGGGCGCAGGGAAGTCAAGGACTGCGGCCTCAGTCAGAAAGGCAGGCAGGAGTAGAACTCCCGGGCTCTGTCCCTGCGAGCGCACCGGGAAGGGCGTCGCTCTGTTTCTGCTGATGCTCATCTGACGACCACAAAGGGCACCAGCCTCTGATGAAGCTGATGCGGGGCACAGCAGGAGGGTGAGTCTGAAAGGACGAGAGCCTGGGCTGCAGGTGCTGTTGAACCACGGAGTCAGCCACGCCCGGACCCTGCCTCACTGAGGACTCTCCAGGGGTCAGTTTAGCGAGCTGGAGTCAGCACGCTATCACTGCACCTGAGAGCACTTCTGTAGTGTGGGGTGTCGAATCCAGGGCCTCAGGGATGCCAAGCAAGTGCTCCACCACTGAGAGCTACACGCTCCGCCCTGATTTTAGCTTTTCTATTGCTGATACTTGCAGGGTCTCCTTATCTAGGAGGTACAGTAGGTATAGTGCCTGGGGAAAGAAACAAGTTTTAGTTTTAATTTCTCTTAAATCAGCGATGAAGAAATATAACATATCCAGTGACAGTGGTGCGGGTCTGTAGGCCCAGCTCTTTGGAAGGCCAGGGTCTCCGGGGAGAGACACTTGAGCCCAGGAATTCAAAACCAGTGGCAACATAGTGAGATCTCATCTCATTAAAAACAAAATAAAATCTATGTCCACACCTCTGCCGTGTGTACACACACAATAATAACAAATAGATATTAACAGATTTCAGTGTGGGTCATATTTACTTGACTAAGGTAGTTATAAAATATAACTAAAAGTATTTTTAATGGAAGAAAGAGTCCACAAAGGCAAAAATGCTTTGAACCCCAAAAGTCATTAATGTGGCCCTGGGCTTAGTCACCGAACTCTTTCCTTTGCTGATATCAGAAGGTTGCTAGGTAAAGAGATGTCAGCGGTTACAGTATACCTCAGCTTATGAACTTAATTTGGTTTATGATTTTGGGGAAGACGGCTGTGTTTGTACAAGGAAGGTGACTGTGGTCATGTTTGTCATCCACCGTGGAGTTTGCTGACAGAGGTATAATTTTGCTGAACGCAAACCGAATTGTTTGCAAACAGAAACATTTGCGAACCGAGCTATTACTGTATTTATTGCCTATTATTTCTCCAGGCGTTGCACCAGGCTTTGAAGACCCGGATGTGACAAGGCAAACCGGAAAAGTTCCTCCCTTCACAAAATGTTTAATTTAGAAGGAAGAGCAAGCCACAAGACAAATGACTACTGTAAAATACTGTATGCTGGGGGCCCCAGGGGAGGAGGACTATCAAGGGGAGCCGGAGACAACAGGATGGGACAGGTCTGCTGGAGGCGGTGACCCTGGGACTGAGGACTGGAGGATGAGTCTGGAATTAACTTCCTTCACAGAGTATCTTCCAGGCCTAAGAATGAGGTTATGAGAATGACATAACCTGATGTCAGGTTTAGAGCAGGGGTGACAGTACGTCCAAGAAGTTGAAAACACCCAGTGAGGATACCGATAAGTAGGGTTCTTGATGCTTGTCATGTCAGGTGGTGTTTTGCAGTTAATCTTCACAACAGTCTAAGAGATAGATAATAGTATCCTGATTGGCAGATGAGAAAGGCAGGAGAGAACCAAGAAAATTAAGTGTTAAATAAAAACTCTAAGTGATGTCTTTAGTAAGTGGCGCAGCTGGGCTGGGTCTCGAAGGTCTGGCCGATTTATCATCTTGCTTCCCAAGTGCAGCTGGAAGGTGGACGGTGAGGGGAGGAGCTGCTGAGGGTAGGGCAGGAGATGGGGTCGCGTTGCTGGGCAGTGCTGCTGTGGAGCCCAGCCCGGACTCCAGCCTGCTTGTGTTTGACCTTCGCGTTCTTTGCAGAACAACCTCTGCAGTCCATGTCACGCTCTCACTCCTGCGCCTCTGCACTTCCCCTTCTGGCTGACATCCGCTCTTTCACTCTGCCTCTAATTTCCCACACCCTCCAAGGCATAGCCCCGCACCCTCAGGATCACACCTGTCCCACAGAAAGGGCGTCATCCCCTCCAAAGCTCTCCCTGCCCAGCGCACGCCGACTTCTCCCGGCGTCTTCCATTTTGGTCTAGCCCAATCTCTTCTTCCGGACATATGTGTAGCATAATCTCATCTCAGACCTTTGCAGTCATCTTTCCCTGAGCGTAGAATATACTTTTTCCAAATAGTTGCGTCATGTATTCCTTTTATAAATCGATTTTTCTGCTCAAATGTAACTTCTTCGAATGTCCCTTCCTGACCTGTGTTATGAGACTGTATATAAGAAAGGCTTCACAGGTCAGAAGCTTATTCCTCTCTCAGTTAGACTGGGGTGGTGCCTGCAGGACCCGCGGTCCTTTTCTCTGATCCTGGTCCGAACGGTCCGCAGTGACTCACTGACTGTGAGCCACACAGCCTCTTTCCATCAATGGCCACATTCCAAATACATTAATAGTCACACAGATTTGTTCGAACTCAGGACCTTGCACTTGCCAGGCAGGTGCTTATGCTGCTGAGCTATATCCCCGGCCCTCTTTTATTATCAAGCATTCATGACTTGTAAGAATACTGCCTAGATACTGGTCTTCTATTTTTTTTTTTTTCCCCCTTCAAATATGTATTTGGTTTCAACTCTCACTGAATTCCTTAGCTGAGCTTTGTGAGAATTTCTGGTGATTTCTGTGCTGCTCATGGAACAGTTATTTCTTTTGTGACATTGTCATTAATGGCCATTAGTAATTTTGTACTGGCTGTCCAAAGTCTTTTAAAAAATCTTACCCCTTGGGCTGGGGATTTAGCTCAGCGGCACAGCACCTGCCTGGTAAGCGTGAGGTCGTGAGTTTGATTCTCGGTACTGGAAACCTCCCCTTCTCCAAAAAAAACCCCCAAAATCTTACCCCTTATTAACTTGTTAGTCCTGGTCTGTTCTCTAGCGAGTAAATAGAATTGTTTTTAGAAAAATTCTCCTGAGCAAACATGAGAAAAGCAAATGCCATTCAATAAACCCGGTGGGAGTGTGTGTCTGGGGCAAAACCCAAGCAGATGAGGAGCTTGGCCGAGGATGCTGAGAAGTGGAGGAGGGTCACAGACTTACATCCCCTTACAATTCTCTTCAAAACTTCAAAGATGAGCAGAATTTCTTCCGCTGAGCTAGTTATGCCATTTAAACATTCATGAACTAACTACATCAACTTACTTTTTTTTTGGTTTTTCTCCAGTACCTGGAACCGAACTCATGATCTTGTGCTTGCCAGGCAGGCACTTTGCCGCTGAGCTAAATCCCCAGCCCCACATCAACTTACTTTTAATGAAAAGAAGAATGTTTTCTGCCTCCTGTGTCTTGTCCGTGGGTCATCAAGTTGAAGGGTTCCTTTTACATTCCGACTAATCCCCTATAGGAACAAAAATTCACTTCACAATGGAAAGTGAGGGTTTGGGTTCACATCTAATATA